GGGGCCTCTATTTTCAGTAAATGCACTCAGCCACACTCAAAACTGTGCTAAACCAATTAGTGGACTATTCCAGTAACAACACTTAATCCCTGTATCACACACCTGTGATCCAGCCTCCTCCCCAAAATCCCACCTATGAGCACATGAGACTTTAGGGGGACATCTAGGTACAAGGCACAACAGCTAGGGTTAGGTCTAAAGTTAGAGCTAGGATCATGGTTAGGGTTGGGGCTAGGTTCGAGGTTAGAGCTAAAGTTAGGGTTAGGTCTAGGTTAGGGTTAGGGTTAGGGTTAGTGCCAGGGCTAGAGATAGGGTTAAGAGCAGAGTTGGAGTGATGAGGGCGAGTGCTATGGCTAGGGCTAATGTTAGTTCTAAGTCTAGGGTTAGACTTAGGTTTAGGGTCTAAGGTTCAGTGTTAGGGTTGGCGTTAGGTTTAAGTCTAGGAAAAGCTCAGGGCTATGGCAAGTATTCCTGATAGGGATAGGTTTAGGGTTATGATTATGGTTATGGTTAAGGTTAGGGTTAGTGTTAGGGTTAAAGTGAGGGCTTGGGTTGGGATCATAGTTGAAGTTAGGGTTACCACAAGGGCTTGGTCTACAGTCAGAGCTAGGACTAGGTCTAGGGCTCAGGCTAGGGTTAGGTCCAGTTTAGGGTTAAATGAGGATTAGGATTAGCATTAAGCTTAGGTTTAGGGAGTGCACAGAGTTAGGGTTTGGTTTAGGGGTAGGGCTAGGGCTAGGGCTAAGGTTAGGGTTAGCACTAGAGCTAGAGCTAGTGTTAGGGTTACTTCTGGATTTAGGGTTAGGTTAAGGTTATGGCTAGTTCTAGGCCCAGTGCTAGGTTTAGGGTTAGAGTTAACATTAAGGTTAGGTTTAGAGGCTAGGTTAGGGCAAGTATTAGGGTCACAGTTAACATTTGTGTTAAGGTTAGGTTTAGGGCCACAGTTAGGTTTATGGTGAAGGAAAGAACTAGTACTGCAGATAGGTTTAGGTTTTGGCTCGGGGTTAGGGTTAGGGTTAGATTTAGGGTTAGGATCACAGTCTGGGTTAGGATTAACATGAAGGGTTGTGCTAGGGCCAGAGCTGGGACTAGAGCTAGGGCTAGGGTTAGGATTAGGGTCAGGCCTAGGATTAGGTTTAGGGCTCTAGTTGAAATAAGGGTTAGTCCTAGAGCTTAGGCTCAGGCTGGACTCAGATTTCAGATCAGGTCTAGGGTTAGGGTTAGAGTTAGGCTTAGGATTTCAGTTGGGGTTAATGTTAAGATCAAAGCTAGGGCTAAGGCTAGGATTAAGACTAGTTAGAATTAGGTTATGGTTAGGGCTTGTGTTAGGTTTAGGGCTAAGGGGAGAGGTAGGGTTAGCACTCAGGCTGGAGGTAAAGTTAGGATTAGGGTTAAGCTTATGATTACAGGTAGGTTTAAGGTTAGGGTTAGTGCTAATGGCAGTGTTAGGGTTTGGGTTTGGTTTGGGGGTTATGTTAGGTTTAGGTTCATGCTTAGGACTAGTGTTAGGGCTCAGGTTAGGGTTAGGCTTAGGTTTATGGCCAGTGTTATGGCTAGATTTATGGGTAGGGTTAGTCCTAGGTTTAGCATTAGGGTTAGTGTTAGGTCCAGGGCAGGCTTAGGGTTATGTTTAGGGCTCAGACTAGGACTAAGGCTGGGCTTATTTTTCAAGTTCATCACACTAGGTTCAGGGCCAATGCTAGGGCTTGGTTTAGGGTTATGTTTAGGTTTTGTGTTAGGGTTAGGACCTGTTTGGGGATAGGATTAGGGATATGGGTAGGTTAAGTCTAGGATTAGGGCTAGGGCTGGGTGCTAATGTTAGTGCTAGTATTAAGGTGAGGGCTAGGGCCGGGTTAGGGCTAGGTCCCTGGTTTAGGCTAGGGCTAAACCCAGGGGTAGAGCTAAGATTAGCCTTAGTGTTTGGGTAGGATTAGGATTAGGGTATTGTTCTAGGGATATAATTTCTTAAATCTAAAAAAGCATTTGCTAAATTGTCTCTAAGAACTTCTCAAATGATTTTCCTATTGCTATGCACACATAATTCCAAAACGCAGTGGTTGACAGCAGGCCTTCCTATTTCCTATCTCTAGTTAATTTTTGTTTCTTTTTGCTAGAGATTGGATTCACCACTTCCGATATACTAGACAAGCATTTACCATGGAGTTACATCCTCAATTCCTTGGTAATACCAACGTGTCTCAGGTTTGACTTCATTTAACTGAGCTGTGTGCTCCTTGTGATATTGGCTGGCGTGGGGTCTTCTCCCTGTGCCCCTGGGAAGGAACATTCCAGAGGGTTTACTTCACTATTGGAATTGAGTGCTGGGTGCCAGCCAGAGCTCAGCTGGGCCTCTCAGTCTTCCTCCGAATTACCTGGACAAACCAGGAAGGGAAAGTTGCTGGTGTCAAGATCCGGGGTTAGAAATCACAGAATGTCACTTTTTTTGTTATTTTTTATTTACATGACAGTTTTATTTAGTACTACCATATGCCAACATAGCTATTCCAGGTTCTGGTACCTGATGAACAAGACAGAAAAACAAAACAAAGCAAAACAATTCAAATATACACAATAAAATTAGTGTGTATTGGGGCTGGGGATTTAGCTCAGTGGTTCTGGTGCCTGTCTTGCAAGCGCAAGGTCCTGAGTTCAATTCCTGGCACCAAAAAAAAAAAAATTAGTGTGTATTCATGGAGCTTATGGTCTCATTATTTATGGTTCTAGAAGGTAATATAATATTTCTTGGGCTTTTATTTTTTTGTATATCTTTTTATTGGTACATTTTAGGTGTATAATATAATGACATTGATCATTGGAGATGTGCACCTTTACATACTCTCTTGGTTATTTTTTCCCCTTTCCCCTGCTCTCCCTTCAACCCCTCCATCCTTCCCTATTTACAAAGACTTCGTTTCCATTTTCTCATATTAATTCCATTCTCTTTCCTTACCCCTCCCACTTCCCCCTCCCTTTTGCCCCTTTTCTTCCTATTTCACATAATCTATTATACCTTTTAGTCCTTATTTACACTTTCAGTTTCTCACACTAGAGAAACTATTCGGTATTTACATGTGTGTCCTGTTTATTTCACTTAAGAGTAACGCCCCAATATGCATCCATTTAGCTATAAATGTCTCTAATTTCTCATTTTTATGGCTGAGTAGTACTTAATTTCATTAACAAACCCCACATTTTCTTGATCCAGTCTCCAGTTGATGGGCATTTGGGCTGTTTCCAAGTTTTAGCTATTACAAATTGTGCTGCTATGAACATGGGTGCACATCTACCACTGTGGTATGATTCTTTTAATTCTTTGGGGAAGATACCAAGCAGGGGAATAGCTGGGTCAAATGGGACTTCCAGTCCTAGTTCTTTGAGGTATTTCCATACTGATTTCCACAGTGGTTGCACCAGCCTACACTCCCACCAGCAGTGGAGCAGGGTTCCTCTTTCCACACAGCCCCACCAGCATTTGTTGTTGGTTGATTTCATGATAGCAGCCATTCTTTCTGGGCTGAGGTGGAATCTCACTGCTGTTTTCATTCGCATCTCTCGAATGACCAGTGATGTTGAACATTTCATATGCTTATTTGCCATGTCTACTTCTTTGTGTGAGAAATGTCTGTTCATTTCAGATGCCCATTTTGGGATTGGGTCTCTCAATTTGGGAGGTCTGATTTTTTAAAGTTCTTTATAGATTTGAGTTAGTAGACCTTTGTCTGAGGGACCGCTGGTGAAAATTTTTTCCCACATTGTGGGTTGTCTCTTCACACTGCTGGTGGTTTCTCTTGCTGTGCAGAAGCTTTTTAGTAAAAAGAGATCCCACTTGTTGATTGATTGTGCTAGTTCACGGGCAACTGAGGTTTTGTTCATAAAGTCTTTTCCTACACCAATATCTTCAAGAGTTCTACCTAACCTCTGTTCCAGCCGGTTCAGTGTTTCTGTTTTTATATTTAGATCTTTAATTCATTTCGATTTTAGTTTAGTGCATGGTGAGAGATATAGGTCTAGTTTTAGTCTTTGGCAAGCTGAAACCCAATTTTTCCAGCACCATTTATTAAAGAGACTATCTTTCCTCCAGCGAGGGTGTTTGGCTCCTTTGTCAAAGATGAGGCAGCTGAGTGTGTCTGGAGTTGTCAGAATGTCACTTTTGCAGATTCAAGGTGGTAGGCTACCAAGGCTGAGAAAGAAACTACCAGTCGATGTAAGGGGCAACATATACTCACTGGAAGAGAGGGGGAAATTACTGGGGATACAGCTAGTAATGTATGATTGCAGTATAGCATTTTAAAACACGGGTTTCAGCCGGGCATGGTGGCGTATGCTCTGTAAACCCTGCACTTGGGAGGCTGAGGCAGGAGGACGGCTGTAAGCTCGCGGCCAGCCTGGGCTACTGAGTTCAAGGCCAGCCTGAATTACAGTGACACCCTGTCTCAAAAAACAAAAAGGAGGGGGTCAATTTAGGCGGATCCACTATGTCAAGTAGACTAAACCTCCCCTTAGGCACAAAGGAGTCACTGAGATTTTAAGCGAAGGGACAGGTCGCTGCGACTGCGAAATGATTTGTTCATGCTATGGAATAAGGTACAGAACCAGAAAACTGATCCCACATTACTTCCAATTCCTAATTAATTAATTCTTCGTGGTCCGATGTTTATTGCTGACCCGCTGATCTAATAACCTACGCGCTAGCTTTTGGAACACCTCGGGGTATGTGGAAATGGCTTCCGCGCGCTTCAACCGGAAACAGAAACTGACCGCTGTGGACGCCGCCTGACGGCCGCTGGGAGTAAAACTAAGCCCGGAAGGTCGCCACGCTGGAGGGGCCAGGGTATTTCCGGGGAAAAAACCTGACAGCGCAGAAGCTCAGAGGGCGAGTCTCCAAGGCCCGGCAAGTTCGCCCAGCGCGCTCCGCTACGCGACGTCGAGCGCACGCTCGAGGCTATTGCGCAGGCGTACGCAAAGGCGTGCGCGCGTCGGCTGAGTGTCTGGCATAGCGGTCCCGTTGGCAGGGTAAAAGCCTTCGGCGCAGGAACGCGCGCTTTCGCTCTCTAAACTACGACTCCCAGCATGCTTGCCCCTTATATCGGTGCTAGGTGTGGTATTCTAGGATAGGATAAAAAGGTTAAAAGACGATGACGCACCAAAGAGAAAAAATTGAACATGCAGTTTAAGCTTATTACCCACAGAAGCCCCAGTGGCCTAATGGATAAGGCATTGGCCTCCTAAGCCAGGGATTGTGGGTTCGAGTCCCATCTGGGGTGGTTATATCTTTTAACTTTGAATTGTGTTTCTCCCTTAACTATCGTTTGAGGTGTTACCTACTTCATTTTACCTCTTTTTAAACGGAGAGTGCATTGTAGTTTTACTAGCTGTTTGGCAGCGGTTTATGAGAATCAGAATAGTCCGTTTCCTTCCAGCCGCAGGCTCCACCAGGCTTTTGGGAAGTCAATGTGTTGGATTTTGACAGCCCTTCTAGAAATCGTTTAAAAATATCTTCACGGCATGCTCTACACCGAATCCATACCGATTCCCGCAGGCCTGCATCTCCTGAGACATGGCTGTTGGGCAGTCTTACTAAGTGACTCGGTCGGGGAAGGGCTTCTCTCCGCCTCCGGCAACACTCGACTTTCTCCTGCTTTCCCTTAATACGTCGGGGCGAGCTCAGCGTTCTATTCCTGAGGCTGCGCGAATCCAGGAAGTGGATTCCGGCTGCCGTCCAATCAGTGGGGGTACCGGAGCCCAGGTCTGACCGCGCCGGGACGCAACTAGCGGAGGGAACAGAGGGCGTTAGAGGCGCGGACGCCACAGGGCGCCAGGCTCTGGAAGGAACGAAAAACGGAAAATGGCGGCTTTAGGGTCCCCGGGGCGCACCTTGCGAGGCCTTCTGCGGGAGCTACGCTACCTGAACGCGGCTACCGGGCGACCCTATCGTGACACCGCGGCCTATCGGTACCTCATGAAGGCTTTCCGTGCTCATCGGGTACGGAAGCCGCACTGGGTGCGCCGCATCTCCGGGGGGGGGGGTAAGAACAAGGGGCTGGGCGGGGCCAAGGAGCAGGGTTCTAGGGCTGCCTTGGAGGTCCACTCTACACCGAGCCGGCCCCCAACTGTAAAAACCCTTGAAATGCCAGGTACCCGGGAGGTTGAGGTAGGAGGATTGCAAGTTCGAGGCCAGCCTGGGCAATTTAGCTAGCCCTCTCGAAATAAACATTTTTCTTTTCTTTTCTTTTCTTTTTTTTTGATACCGGGAATCGAACTCGGGTCCTTGCGCTTGCAGAGCCGGCGGCAGAACCATTGAGCTAAATCCCCGCCCCGAAATAAACATTTTATAAAAGGCGGAGGGTGAAGGTCAGGGTTAGAGCGACTCCCGAGTGAATATACACATATATATGTATACGTTAGTGGAAGGTGGTGAGCACACACTGCCCGAAAGTCAGCCCCCCACTATGCTTCCCCTATATTCTATTGGAGGTGGGGGCGGCTTATCGTTTGTGGACCTGGCTTTCTCTGTCCTGCCTGTCAGCCCCCCCCCCCCCCGCCCCGTCCTTGACTTACTTCCCAGGGGAATCTCTGTAGTAAAGTTTGTGTTTAACTCATGTAGTAAGGCTTAGCTAGAAGACCTAAGAAGGCCCTTATTCTATTGTCTCATCTACAGACCCCTGCCCCTACATAAACACATATCCTCACTGTTTTTACCCCTCTCTCACAAACTCAGAACTCAAAACTACGTAAAGCACAGATATTACACTTAACCTTGAAATTTAAGTGTGATGAAAAGAAATTAGGGTTTAGTCATTGGGCTGTGCATGGTGGTGCATGCCTGTAATCCTAGCACTAGGGAGGCTGAGGCAGGAGGATCACCTCGAGTTCAGAGCCAGTTTGAACGGCAAAGAGAAACCCTGTCTAAAAAAAAAAATCTCTGCTGGACCTGATGCAGTAGGATTCCATTAGTCAAAGGGTTCAGTGCCAGCCTAAGTAACAAGACCCCTGTGGGGGGGCGCTGGGTGTAGTGGTACATACTTGCATGTAATACTAGCACTCCGAGAGACTGAGGCAGGAGGACGGTAAATTTAAGCCCAGCTTAGGCAATTTAGCAACTTACTGAGACCCTGTTTCAAAATAAAATTAAAAATGAGAAAAAAGAGGTGGGAGGTATCGTGTACAGGTACAAATTCCCTATAATGAGTGTTATCATTATGTATAAAATGAACCAATAAATGTTTTGATATAAGCATGGAAAAAATAAAACTGAAAAAAAATTTAAAAATTGAAAAAGGGGTGGAGATGTAGCTTAGGGTGAAGGCTTAGGGTTCAATCCCCAGTATCAGAAAAAAGGCAAAAGTTATCTTTCAGACTGAGCTTGTAGCTCAGTGATAGAGCACTTAGCAAGCACAGGGCTTGGGTTCAATCCCTAGCATTAAAAAACAAAACTCTTGGGCTGGAGATTTAGCTCAGTGGTGCTGTGCCTGCCTCAAAAGGGCAAGGGCCTGAGTTCGATCCCTGGTACCAAAAACAAAACAAAACAAAAAAACTCTTATTAACTGGAGTTCAACTTCCCTCTTAAACTATTAGAGTATCTTTATAAATGAATTAAATACACACACTTTTATATTTTCTGTACAATTTACTTTTTAGAGAAAACATCTTTATGGTTAAGAAAGGAAAAGACAGTATGGGCAAGAATATGAACAGCTAGAACTTGTATATACTGTTGTTAATATAAATTGGTACAACTATGACCACTGTTTGGAGCATCTACTAAGGTAGAATATATGCCATTTAAAGGTAGGTTTACGTTTGTTTGGTTTTGGCGGGATTGAACTTGGGTCCTTGCGGTTGCAGGGCAGGTGGCTGAACCATGAGATAAATCCCCAGCCCTATAGGTAGGCTGATGGAAAGACATAGGATTAGTCACAATGACTCATGCTAAAAGAAATATAGGTAGAAAGGAGACAAGGAACATCATAACCCAAAACTGTATGTTTAAGAAGACTACAATTTCTGGGTTACAGTTGAAGTTACCCAAGGAGATCCCTATCAGCATTCCCTGGGTTAATTTAGGCACCTCTTCTTCCAGAGCTATAAATTGGCTTAGTTGAGAAAGTGAATAGTAGGGACCTTTTCCCTACTCTTACGAGAGAATTCAGAGAATGCTTAAATTGTCCATCTTAAAAACAAAACACAAACAAAAGCTAGGCTTATACTTGTGAATTCGGCTCGTACCCTCCTGGAGGGGGTGGGCAGCCTTTTCCTTGGTTTCCAGCCCCTTAGGAGAAGCACAAATGTGCAAGGTTCCAGGAAATAGCATACCTCTCTTGAGAGCACACACTCTTATTTCTTGGTGCATTTAAAAAATTCTGGATGATAAATTCCTTTATGCCTCTTAAAAATAAACAAGGGAGGGCTGGGGATTTAGCTCAGTGGTTCCACCACCTGCCTCAAAAGTGCAAGGTCCCCGAGTTTGATCCCCGATACCAAAAAAAAAATAAGGGAATCTTTGTGGGCCCATGTCTGTGACGAGGGTGTTGACAGAGGGTATGTCATTGCTGCTGTCCTAGGTCACCAGTGAGAAGCTGTGCAGAGCCCAACATGAACTGCATTTCCAGGCAGCCACCTACCTGTGCCTCCTGCGCAGCGTCCGAGAGCACCTGGCCCTTCACCAGGAGTTTCATGGCAAGGGTGAGCGGTCAGTGGAGGAGTCCGCAGGCTTGGTGGGTCTCCAGCTGCCCAGTCAGCCTGGAGGGAAGGGCTGGGAGCCATGAGTGTGGAGAGATGCTGTGGATGCCACCCTGAGGAGAGTTTCATCATTTCTACCAATATGTATTTATCATTAAATTTTTTTTTAAAGTTTAGGGATTCTGTCTTGTCATCTTGTTGACTGAATGATTAGGAGAATAAACTGGAGGTTTCATCTTAACTGTCAGTGAGTTTGCCAAACTTCTTACCTAGAGTTTATTGATGTCCTGTATCTAATTTTTTTTTTTGGAGAAAGCGTCTTGCTATGTCATTCCAGCTGAACTCTATGTAACCCAGGCTGATCTTGAACTAGTGATCCTCCTGCCTCTGCCTCCCAGAGTGCTGGAATTACAGCCAGGTGCTATCGTGTCCAGTTTTGATACACTTATAGAACTAAACTGGGTGTGGTGGCCCATGCCTATAACTCCAGCGCCCTGGGAGACTGACGCAGGAGGATCTCAAATTTGATCCCAGCCTGGTCAATTTAGTAGGAACCTGTCAGAATAAAAAAAATATCGGGGATGTTCAATCCCCAGTACAATACATAAACAAACCAACAAAACTAAGTAATAAAAGCCTATTTTTTTAAGGAATTAAAATACAGTAAACATAAAACCCCGTTTATTTTTCCCTGTCCCTCCCTCTCCTATCCTCAATACAGGTGTTAACCATTACTAGTGGTGTGATGTGCATCTTTCCACACATTTCCTGTGCATATACAACAGAATTATACATGCATATATACATACCTATAGCTCATATATACAAAGAAGAGTATACACACATGCATACACATTATAAAAATACACAAATATGAAGTGTTAAGGTCCTGGAAGGAAACATATGGTACATGCCAGTAGGGTCACCTAGGAGAGAGAAAGGGATAATAAAGATGTGGGTGGAATTAAGTTCAGGCTGGAAGCTCTTAGGGGCTGTTGTTAACAGTGGAGAGCTGTTACCTTCCCAGGCCTGACAAGCGCTGGCCCTTAGATCCAGGAACATGGCTATGGCTGAGGTGCAGACCACAGGGAAATCCAGGGATAGAATGGGGTAGGCACATTAACATTTTCTGCCTGAAAAGTCTCTTGCTTAAGTTGCTCTTCCTTTCCAACTCTGTTTTTGGATGAATGGTTCCACTGTGTTGGCTAACCAAGGCAAGAACTTGGGAAAGCCAGGGATGGTGGTGCACTCTGGGATGCTGAGACAGGAAGATCAAAAGTTTGACCCCAGGACCGGGGATTTAGCTCAGTGGTTCCTCCGCCTGCCTCGCAAGCACAAGGTTCCGAGTTCAATCCCTGGTACGCGCCCCCCCCCCCC